AGGATTTGCCAGTACCCAAGATGGCCGCTCCATCACTTCCGGTTCCGCTGTGCGTCTGATGTCCCTTCCCTTGACGCGTTTCGTCATTGAAATTAATCATAAGGGATACAGATGTTGGACAGGAAGGACCTTTTTATACTCCTCCCTAACATGGCGCCGAGACCATAGCCGCCATGTTAGATCAGGGAGTAATGCCAATAGTATTCGGGGGAACTAATGGGCTAAACTCAACCGCGCACACAGGAGAGGAGAAGTTGCCGAACTACTGCCACACAGGACAGAGGAGAGATTGAGAGGCTGTAGAGACACAGCCACGCAGATGGGGTTAATGGGTGAAAATCTGCAGAGACCCAGCTACATGAGGGAAGAAAGAGAACAGGAATCTGCAGAGACACCGTAACACAGGAGAGGAGAATGGGTAAGAAGAGGCAGAGACCCAGCCACAAAGGATAAGGGAAGGATCCAGTGAGAGGTTGTGAGACAGCAAGTATGGAGCCTAGTAATCATCATTGTAAAGACTCAGTCATACATTAGAGGGACGGGGAATGACTCCCAGTCACATGCTGTATTGGGCGTAACAGTCCTCAACATAGCACGGTGAGTGATAAAGTGCGATAAATATGTTGTGTAAGATCAGTATTTGGGCATTGTGACAGTGTGGTGCCCTGTCACGGTGTCACGGTGTTAAATAGCAGCCCGGGCCAGGTTTTGTAGGGAATAGGCACAGTGATGATGCAGGTGTGTGCTTAGGGTAGGGTTCTGGCCTCTACCCTCCCAAGAAGTTAGTGTTCGTTAGCAAGGGAGCAGCCAGAGAGGTGTGCATGTCTGCATGGTGCTGTCTGGGACAGAGGCCAAAGCCTGAGAGATGGAGCAGCAGGAAGCTGCAGGACAGAGAGCTGACAGAGGTACAGCGTTTGTGCACGAGTACTGGGAAGTTGTGTTAGTTGGTCAGGAGGACCAATGCACAAGGCCTGAGCAGCAGGGCTTCCAAAGAGCCCTAGAAGACTTAATTGTTAATTTCGTATTGATGGTGGAAACCCCATGCGAGGAAGGCTGATTGCTTTGAACAGTTTTTCTGTTTTAAATAAAAGTGGGCAGCAAAAAACCTGTAAAGATATCTGATGCAGACTGAACTTACTGATAAGAGCTACATGTGAGCTAAACAACCCCCAGGTTGTCACAGTGCGTATGGGTAGACTCCTTAAGGGCTGAATTATGTTTGATGGCTGGAATTTTCCAGGAATGTAGACAACTTTTTCTATCACTTGTTCCCAAATAGAGCTCAAAAATAAAGTGTTCTGACTACACTGGAACACTACCACAAGGTTGTCAATAAATGCACTGATATGCTTTTGGGTTCTTGTGCTTGTATATGGTTTCTGCTAGCAATACATGGGTTAATCAAATACAAGGTTGGTAAATCAAATGGAATCTGAACTCTGGGCAGATATAAAAGAGCACCATTTATTGCAGATAACATCTCTGCACTGCATGACTCAAACTGGGAGGCGCTTAAATGCACTGCAGAATACTGTTAAGCTGGCCATAGATGGATCGAAATTTGTCCCGTTCAGCAGAGACTGGCCAAATTGTGATCTGCCCTACCTGTTCAACAAAGGTTGACTAGTAGATTGACCTCTGTCAAACAGACAAGTTTGAAAACTTTTGTGGATCAGCAGCTGCTGATCCAGTATATTGTGACAGTGCTTGGTTCCACTATCAGATTGCAGTGTCCCCTGTTGGAGAGGGGAAGTTATTACATCCACATTGTTTGTGTGGATGGAGGAATCGTTTTTGTTTTGGGTTTTTTCTTTCATTCAGTCCGCTGGCTGAATGGAAAAAAAAAAAAACGTCTTAAGGCCAGCTTGAGGCTAAAACTGAGATTTACTTGTTGAGGAGTAGAGCTTCATCAGTGTGATGACATTTTAACCATCAGCCTGGGGAAGGGATGGTGACCAAGCACTATGGCTTAACAATTGAGAAAACCAAGCAGTCCATGCTATGGTGCAGAGTTCCCTGGGATTACAACATTGTCTGAATAGCGGTTGTGGTTTAAAACATCTCAACTACATATATCAACAGTGTTTTACTTCAGTTCAATGACAGGATTCCACTGCCCATTCAGAGAACGTGATGCATTGTGGGATTGTAGCAAGATGAGTTGTGAGAATAGTGGAGAGATGGCGTTTTTTTGTTTTGTTTTTTATTTTTAGTAGCTTAGTCTGCTGTTAACTTTTACAATACCGGAAGACACCTGATGAGCACAGTATCCAGTGGCTGTGAGGGGGACATTTTTTGGAGAACTAATTTGTAAGGTGCTGTATTCCAAAAAAATTATGTTACACTTCAGAATAATGTGGCTCTATTTTTAGTTTTGGCTTACAATAAAAGTGTGGCTATTTTTTCTTTTCTTTTTTTTTTTTAAATTTTATTCTACTCTTGGCTCTAGTCAAACCTACCCCATCCAGGGTAATGTTTGGATGAAGTCACTCACGTACTGGTGAATTTTAGCATCCTGAATTTTAGCAAGCAAGGTCTCAGCTTGACGTTAACAAAGGTAGCGATCAGTTTAGTTATCAACTATTTCCTGTGCAGACATTAAACATTAACACTTGTACCTATGTGACAGACTTCAATTATGATACTTTTCTGGGAAAAGTGTTGAAAAAGTGTTGCTGAGTTTATAAGGAAGGTCCCAGCCGTTTGCGCTGTTCATTGGCCTTATATGATGGACGATATGCCCATGTATTACTACCTACCATTTGTTGTAGGAATCCCAGGGGCTCAGTTGCCAACAGACAAGGACTATTAAATACACTGTTCTATACTGGCTTCACTTTTTCTCTCCTGGATTAAATTATAAATAATTACCACAACAGAGTAGCCAAGGGAATCTAATGTTCATGGTCCTGAATGTATTTGCTGCATTTTTCCTACGTTGTCTATCCTTTTGTGATTGTTTTGAGTTTTATTCATTCAGCGTTCCTCATTTGTAATTCTGTAAAGCTGCCAATGCAGTTTTGGTCAGCCTGTCATATCTTCTTATCATCTAAAGTGTGCTAGAGCTCGGGTGTTTATACTTTTTGTTGTATTCTTTATTCCGTTTCCCCTTATGTATCTGGTAATCCAGTGTTGCATACTTTTACAGCTTTATTTCCAGCCAACATTTCCCTAAAGCCAGAGTTCAGCTTTAAAATAGTATTCACCCTCCCAATGTCCTAGGGATTATGGGAAGCATATCATGCTTTTACTTTTCACTTCATTACGCTCCTAACCTGCTGAACTGTCTGAGATTATCACAAAGGTAGCTGTCTGAGTGATGTGACTTGTGAGTTACAAGAGGAAGGTCACCGCTATAGAGGCTAGGAGCAGGGAGATGGGAAGTGTAGATTTCCTGTGTTACCTAATCACTGCGGACTCATTGTAGAAAAAATATTCAACCAGTTCACGTGAATATGTAACTGATTTTTAAAAAAATCAATGCAATAATTCCCTTTGTGCCCTGTGGCTTTATTATTTTGAGTCATATGGTAAATAGTTAAAGTAGAACTTTAGACAAAACTTTTTTCTTTCATTTTGGATAGAGTAATTGAGGTTTGTAACCCTGTCAGTTTATTTTTTTGCCATCTGTGTCTTATTGAGGTGATTTACCTTTACTTCCTGTCCCAAAACAAGAAGTGTGAAAATCTCTGCAAATTAAGGGAATTCTTTGGGGACCCCCAAGGTCACCAGAACCAGTGTCCACATTGGACGATTTCCCCTCTATTACTTTTCTGGGGACAACCCAAAATTTGGGATTTTCTTTTACTTTCACTTTTGATTATAATGGTAAACAGGACAAATAGGGTGAATCTCCCTAATGGGATTACAGACAGCAAAAAACTTGACAAGGGGTCTAATCCATCTCCACTCTATCCAAAATGTGTACAAAAAAAAAAAAAAAATTTTTGCCTTTAGTTATACTTTAGGTCGTGTTTACCTGGCTGCATTCTTTTCTTCGTGTTCCTCTGTGTTAGGTGAATAATCCACAGAATAAACAGATCTAAACTGATTCCGTAGCAAAGTGTCACACAGTCAGTGTTCATGGTTGTCTGTACAACATTTAAAAATGTATTCTACTCTGTAAGGTATGTGCTCTTGGTGGGTGGGAGTTATAATTATGTACAGGTTTCCCCTAAATCAGTACAGAATAAAGTCCAACTAGCTTTCATTTTTTCAGACTCAGCAGTGAATGTGACTTTCACCAAACAATCTATGGTGGAGAATCAATTAATTTAAAACACATGGACCTGTAAGATTCACCTGCAGAGAATGTTTGCTGAATGTCAGACTAAATAGGTCCTCAAATGTCCTGTTATGCCCCCTAGGGTTCCTGATCTGCTCCTATGATCGATGCCAGCTTAGCTTTATTCTCCTACAGCAAACTGAGCAGAACGGTAATGAAACGTAGCTGTACACTAACACCCCAGTCACATCGATCCTGACTTTGAAATCGTTTGACTTACAGTGAAGTCGTGTGATTTCAAAGTTGGGATTTTGCGATTTGAGGTGTGATTTGCAAGACATCTGACACAGATGTCTATGCAAATCGCACCAAAAGTGGTGCATGCACTACTTTATAAAATTGGTGCGGCTCCAACCAAGTTGGAACCGCACCGATATGACCTCTGTAATTGTGGACAATAGGGTACGACTTGGCATGCGATTTGCAAGTCACATGACATGCAAATCCCATGCCAAGTCGCACCCAGTGCGACTGGGGTCTAAATGTCCATATACATGATCCCCAAGGCAGGCTTTATGACATTGTAACCATTGTTGACATATTCCAAAGTTAAATAAGCTGCTTGTTAAGTATAGATGATCACTACAACCAGTCTTTGGGCAAAGTTAAAATAAACATAAGTGGGTTGCTTTGGAAGAGTAAAAATTTTTAAAAAACACTTTTTTTTAATGTAGTCCCCACCATTCTTACACTTCATACATTACATGGTGAACAGGATGCACTGTACAGCCTGGCAGCTATCTATGGAGGCAGGCCAAACTCTTCAGGAGGAGGGAAGGCCCGACACAGAGAAGAACAGGTAGGCTTCCCGCATGCCTGAGCCTCTTCTGAACATTCTTGCACTATGTTTCATAACTAATCGTATCCTTACTTTGCATGTTTCCTGTGTATTATACCTAACGCATAGAGGAAAGCCATAACTCATTGTTGTCTGAGGTTCTACCTTGCCTCCTAACTAAATACACAGATACAACTAACTACAATCTACACATATGGGCTGTGTTTTTCCTTCCTGTCCGAATTCTGCACTTGTGTCTGACATATTTAATTTTTGCTTTTGAATGAGACTTGCATCTATACCCAGTATTATGCACCTCAAATTGTTTCTGCTACATGGTGATATTAACCTGTAACCATTTGCTGTCCTGCTTGAATGCTACTATGTGATTTGTAATGCTACTATGTTTTCCATTTGAATTTCTTTCTGTACTATACCATTGCAGCTAGTTGAGCCAAGTATCCCCACCCATTCATTGAGATGCATTTAACAGTCTCTCATCCGTTCCAAAAATTAGCAGTTGCATTAGAATAGTACTCGATGCAGTATGGCAGGTGTTCAGTCCGGTCCCTTAATAATATGAGATGTACAGGATACACGCAGTCTTTCTAACAAAAGCAATAATGTACAGTAACCAATGGCATCCAAACAAATTTCACCTTTCATTGGTTTATAGCAATCAGAACAATGAAAGAGGCTTGCTGATTGGTTGCTATGGTTAAATATTTTTTTGCACATTACCTTAAGTTAATCCTTTTCAAGTATTTATATCTCTACTCATACTACAAGTAGGTCAGAGTTCTGCAGTATGGTAATAGATCAGTTATCCTTTAATGGACTTGGTTATGAAAAGAAATTTATAGAATTTAAAATAAAACATGGGTTTAATTTATTCTGAATGTTTGACTTGGGAACTGTAAAATAGTCCTATTTTGGCCATTTAGTATATTGTCCCCCTAAAGACTTTAGATTTTAAAGTTCTTTAGTTCTTCAGAGGCTAAGTTTTTCCATATATATATTTTATTAATAAGTTTTATTTTACGCATTTTTATTGTCATCCTATTAGGAATATTTAGCAAGACTCAGGCAAATCAGACTCCAGAATTTTAATGAACGACAGCAGATGAAAGCTAAGCTGCGTGGAGAAAAGGTAAGAACAGTTAAAGTGAATGTATAGTGCGTTTTCTTTCGGTATTGTGGTCAGGACTAAAAATATATATATATATATATTGTGACTGATCAATGCTGTGTCACTGCATAAGATAGAGACAGGGATTGAGCAGTTGGATTGGGGAGATTGCCCACAAAGAGGCTCCAGTTAGCCAGGGCTTCTTCCTCAGGAAACATTTTGCTGCAGGAACATCATGTGTGTAATACTCAAGGATTGCATATGCAGGCCTGTTTGTTGTCAGAGACGAGCGCTCTAACCAGGCCAACACCTAAGAGAAATTCTGTCTGGACTAGAGTTTGAATTGAGGGTCTAATAAGACCAAAAAATATTTGCTTTGTATCTGTGATACTAAAAAAACACCCTGCAAGGACAATCCCTGTATTAAGTAGTTTCGTTAGGCAAAAAAAATCCTAAAAGCGCCAGTTTGCACGTGTACTGATTCTGTTAAACTTTTCATTTGATGCTAAATCTTACAATAAATATATACATTGAATCATAGATATCTTTATTTTATTTGCTGAAGTTTGCCTAAAGTGCTGTGCTGTCTTTAAAAAAAAAAAAAAAAAAAAAAAATGATGCTCCCCTATAAGGCTGCCCATACGCGGCTTGAATTTTGACCAATTCAGCAGGAATTCCGTACCAACCAGCTTGATAACATAAAACTGAAAGATCGAAGGAGCCAGATGGAATAATGTTGGCCGAACAGTGAATACGTCAAACTACATGCAGATACTGTTCAAGTATACAGCAACTGGCAGGAGAGATTTCTTCATCCATGCTTTTTAGTGTGGAGGACAAAGTTTTTGCATGTATGGCTAGCTTGTCTCTGCTACACAGGCTAAATCCTTATCTGACAAGGTGACAGTATGCTGCAGTATTTTGATCTGCAACTTGTGCCTGGCAAGTCATTTGCAAGAAATGTTCCTGAATGGTAACCTGAAAACTTTACAAAAGAAATTTTAAAATTTAAAGTTTTTTTTTTTTACCTTAATGCATTCTTCTGAGTGCAGCCCCCCCTTCCCCATCCCCCCCTCCCTCTGCAAGCGCACGCTTATACTTACCTGAGCCCAATCTTGCTCAAGTACCGTGCACGAGAGCAGTGGCTCTCTCAGCTCTCTCCCTCCTCATAGGCTCAGAGACCGCAGCGGGAGCCATTGGCTCCCGTTGCTGTCAGTCACGACCAGTGAGGACACAGGGGCAGCTCATGAACAAGTGTGCATGAGGGCCTCCATAGCACATGGTTTGCTATGGTGGGCACTCAACAGAGGGGAGAAGCCCGGAGGAATGCCAGCGGAGGGCCCAAGAAAAGAAAGGATCGGGCTCTTAGTGCTAAATACTGCACAGAGCAGGTAAGTGTGACTGCTGGTCCAAGCATCTGTGTGAATCCTGACTGTAAAGTCTTGATCTTTCCCAAGCCTGGACCAACTGAGTAACGTCAGCCGACAGTGGGCTTTAGAAGTATAGCCAAAATCGCTTTGGCTATACGTCTCCTTTTTAAATAGACTCTCTGATTTAAATACAATGCCCAACTAGGCCCTGTGTAACATGGTGCTATGTGTTCCTTTTGAGGCAGCTGATGTTATAATATAACATAATGGTTGTTTCTGCTGTTGGGTTTAACATGACATAATAGCTGTTTATGTGAAGGTATACTTATACAGTATAGAGAAGATCAACTTCATTTTGGATATTTGTATCCATGCTTCATTGGTGGAATGTAACATATTAGCCCTAAAATTCAGTTTTGTTTGAAAAAAAAAAATCAAAATCTCTCTTCCTGATATACGCTTTAAAAATTAAATGTCAACAAATGGTATTTTAATTAATGTGTTTTCTGTCACTGTATACATGTAGATCACTTGCCATTAGTTCCTGTATTTTGCATTCATTGTAGCTAGTGTGTAAAGGCTTTTTCCACTTTGGTGGTCATATTTGAGGAACCCCTACTATGTGTTCCTGTTCACACTGCATACCTAAAAATAATAACAAAACATATATGTTTATTATCTTTCTAGTTGTTGCTTTGGTGCAGGATTATACATATGACTTTTTAGGTAGCTTGCAAGCTATTCTGAACAATTTCAAAATGTAGCAGAGGGGCAAACTGAAGGAAAGTGCATTTGCATACAATGTACCATCCAAGCCTTGAGATCTTTAACCCTTTATTGGGGCAGACAGTGTGCAAATCTAGCTTAAAACTAATAATGAAATATGCTACCATGGAACAGATGGGGGTTAATTATAGTAAACTAATTCCACGGCTCCCTCATTAACATTACCAGCAAATGGAAAGACTGGTAAGATTTATAAGCAAGTAAAGAGATAGACAGCAAATTTTTTATACTGTTGTTAAAGCTGAACTTTACCCATAACAGTTTGATAACAATTAGTGTTCTTTATCAAAAGTACATACATTCCACATTAATCATTATGCTGCCACAATTTAGTGTATTTATTTATTACAGGTATTCTTAGAGCAATGTCAATTTACATCTATATTATACATTCACAGCAGTCCCTGCCCTCAAGGAGCTTACAGTCTTGGGTCCCTAACGCACATTCATACACATACTAGAGCCAGTTTTGCTATACAGAAGCCAATTATTCTATCAGCATGTCTTTGGAGTGTGGGAGGAAACTGAAGTATCCGGAGGAAACTCGCAGGCACAGGGAGAATATTCAAACTTCAGGCAGGTAGTGCTGTGATTGGAATTCGAACCAACAACCCCCAATGCTGCTAGGCAGAAGTGCTAACCACTTATCCACTGTGCTGCCCATTATGCCTTCAGTATATTGCCTCCAGCATTGTTCCTTTTTCTTGAAGGCCCCCGTTTTGTTGAAGCTCCAAGCTGTCACTTCCTATTTGTAAACTCTACCCCTCTCCTTGGTCTCAAAAATGATGTCACTTTCTTCAATTAAAATGTTTCTTTCCAGCCTTTTTTTTATGTCTTGGCTCACAAGATAGGTGGCTGACAGAAGTTTTACAGGGTTGAAGTTCACAGGCTGCCCGTGAGAGAGAAAGGAAAGCGGATATAACACATCATCCGACCATACTTAAATTTCGATCCATGTATGGGCACTCTATCTATTGACTTGTGTACAACCAGCCTGTCGGGATTTTACCCAAACGATTAGTGCTGCCGAAACGAATTGTGGTATTCTTTCGGCAGGGAAGGCTCCCCGATGGTAGAACACAATAGCACTGTGGGAGTAATCAAGCCACTCATGGTGCAAGGAAAAAAAAAATCTTAATCTATGGCCTGCCTAACTCCTTGCTTAAACTTGCATAATCTATGGCCTGTGTCTCCCTGGCAGCAGAGTGTCTTGGTCACCTCTCCCTCTTTTTGATTCTTACCTAATCTGTGTTCTGTCATTCATGTTGCTTTCTTTCCCCATCCTCAACGATATCAACTGAACAGAGAACAACTAAGCATGTGCAGAGCAGGGTGAGACAGTACATTACTGGATTTTAAACAGTACAGGCTATACCTGCAAAGGAGCCAGCTGAAGGGTTCTAGCAGGACTTAGTTTTCTGACTAAAGTTCCACTTTACTTTATGCTATGTGAATGAGAACATGTATCTCAATTTGGTGGCAAACGTAGAGATACACTTTAACATTATAAACAAATGGACCCAATTAAATGTTACTTGGAATACATATGCTCCCAAATCTAACATACTCAAAAATATTGGTTAATAGCAACCTTTATATAAAGAGGTGCAACTGTCATGTAATAATAAGAAAGCTTTCTCATAATACACAGTTCTGTGAATTTTGTTTTTTTTTTACATTTTCCATGTAATTTAAGCTCTGGATGTAGAATGCATGTTTGATGACTGGCTAAAATTTTAGAAATGTTCTTCACCATGTTTATTTTTGATCTGGCAGGGAGATGAAGGACAACCAAGCAGCAAAGGCAACAGCGAGGAAGCTGAGCTGAGAAGGAAAAAAATTGAAGCCTTAAAGGTATTCTATCAGAATTGTTTCTTTTTAGTAAGGGGTTTCATTTTGAAAATTATTTCAGTTATACAATCCATAGACATAGTAGTTATCACATAACACTAATCCTAACAGTAATACAAAACAACTGGATTCTATTTGTATTTATATGTTTATTGTTTAGTAACTTTTTACTTTTTGACTATAATATTTGAATTGCCAGAGGGTTTAGCAAATTCATTCCAATAACATTGCATTTTGGTGGTGTGTCGGCGATGTGTGCTGATGAAAAGTACTGCGTGCACAGCGCGCACACCGTGCACACTCAAAACAGTGCAATGTTCCGGATCGACACATCAGTATTGCCTAAACACACAACACACACCATGTACCCTTACTCTCTAGATGCAAAGCCTGGACAGTAAGCAGCGGGGGAGGCAGATGGGTCAAGCATAGTTGTGGTGCAGCTGAGGCTAAGCCTACTTGTGGCACAGACAATAGTCAGGCATTCGAGATCCAGTTATGAAATTAAACTGTAGCAGTAGTAAAACTTGGTAACAGGTTGTAAGAAAAACCAATACGGAACTTTTTTTACTCATTGACCTTTCCAGTGTATTGGTCACCAGGGCTTTTTTTGTGTTGGAATGTGGCTGCACAGTGTTCTGCCACCTCTGGCACCAGCTCTGTGCTTGATCCTTACTGCTGTCACTTGTAAACATGGGAACCTAGTTCCTGTGTCTCCAAGTGACAGCACTGCTCTCCCCGTCGGCACACACAGAACCCTCCTTGTTCTGCATATCCCGATAACAGCAGAGAGGTGGGGGAGGTGAAGGAGTGGTACTTTTAATCCAGCAGGTTCTGGCTGCCCAGAGTTTCTTTTGAACGCCTAGTGTCACAAAGTGTGGTCTGTACATGACTGGCTTCAGCAGGTGGGAGCAGGAGAGGCAGAGTGATCTGACATCACCCTCCTCTTGCTCAAGTTCTGCCCACCAACAGGCAGCTTGTGGGAACAGGCTAAGCATTCTGTAGGTGCCCTTCCTC